TAAGACATGGCAGTGCTCACTGCCCATTATGGGAGGCAGGCTCAAACAATATTTCTGCATTGTGCTCTAGGAGCTATAACAGAGCTACTAAAGCCTGAAGACTAGGAGAGGCCTCAAAATTTTACAGACCCTGAACAACACAAGTTTGAACTGTGTAAATCCACTTATGTGTAGATTGTTTTTCCAATAAATACCTGTACTGTATTTGATCCACAGTTGCAAGTCCAAAGATGTGGAGGGTCAACTGTATGCATTGTTCTATGCCATTTTATATAAGGGACTTGAGCATCCATGGATTTTGGTATCCATGGGGGTCCTGGAGCCAATCTCCCTCGGATAGTGAAGGTAGTTAAGTTTTTGGGAAGTCAAAAGTTATATATGGATTTTCGAATGCGTAGTAGGTAGGCACCCCCAACCCCCCATGTTGTTCAAGAGTCAACTGTGTATTAAAGAAAGGTATGTGGATTCTTTTTAGGGTAGCTTATATATTTTTATGTATTTAACCCAAGGAGAAAGAAAAATGTAGGTTCTCATTTAGCCATTGTGATAGTGAGATGGCATTTCTGCTGAGATGAACACCTGAATGTGGCACTGACCACACCTCTCTGTACTATAGACACATTATAGTAGTGGGCAAGAGGTAAACATGATAAGAAATCTAGAATTTGAAACATGGTATAACAATAGCATGTCAGATGGCTATTTTAATTCTTTGTCTTCAAAGTTGGTTCAACATGAAGTAATTCTACCAGTTTTTCTTAATAAATGATATGTTGCAGCCATTTGCCAGTCTTCATCATTAAAGCTAACTTGCTGCTTTAGTCTATTTTAACAGGTTCTACTCTCAAAACACCTGGCTACCTTGTAAACTCCTAGTTTCTTAAAATATAATGCATGCCAGCCCTGTCTTCAGTACTTTACCTGTTATCTCACTGAATCCTCACAACTCTCTAAGGTAGGGACCGATTTCCCCATTCCAGATCTGAGACAGCTGAGACACAGTAAGGTTTACTCACAGTCCAGGTTCACACTGATAAGAAGTGCAGAGCTGGGATTAGAACCCAGGGAGTGACTCCAGAGCCTACACCCTTCACTCCCTGCCTGTCAAGCTAGGTTGGCAGTGATTGCAGAATGCTTCATTGCCTGCAGAAATTCAGATGTGATGGTCCTTAGTCTGATTGAAATAGGTCAGCACCTTTGTAAATTTTGAATTATGAGTTTCCCTATTTCAGAACACAATGAAGAAAACATAAACATCACTGCATATTTCCTTTAGGTTCTAAAATATGTGTATTCTGCCACTGTTCCATTCGTGGCTTTGTCATTTACTACTATGTGAGTTTGGACAAGTTTTTTAATGTGGGTTTTGGGTGTTTCCACTGTAAGAGGAAGGGATTAAACTAGACAATTCTCTATATTTCCTACTGACTCAGTAAATTTTCGATTCTATACCAGAATTAAAGGTTGATAGCAACTTTTTTGTCAGTCATCTAGAACCTATTGCTCCAAATGAAAAGAGAAAGTATGGATAGTAAGTGTTCTTTTCTTTTATTGGGTTCTTTGTTATTTCAAATACTCAAAAAGTTTATACCAAGGTACTAGCTTTTGCCATCCTGAAGTATATATGTTGTGTGCTCAGTTTTAAGGGCTGGGAATATTCCCTGAAGGTCTGTGCTTGTTCGAAAACAAAATGGAACACTCAAGTCTAAGCACTAAAAATATCTCATAAAATGCTTCCTCCATGCACTCATTGGAACAGGTAATTACTGTGGCAACAACAAACTAATTTGAAGTGTTAGCTGTTAATTAAAAGAATGCAGAGGTGTATAGTTGTCTTTTGGTGTAACCAGAGCCTCCATTCAAACTTCATTAATCACCTTACAGTTAATGTGTTGAGGAAGGTCAAGACAATTGGGATGCAGTATCCGTTGAAAGTAAACAAATTCCTTTTCTCCAGGTAGAATGCCATTTGCAAAGTTAAGGTGCATACTCCACTTATACCTGGCAATGCCTTTGTCATCCACTTCTCCTTGATGATTAAATGTTAAGTTGGTACTGTCATTGCACTGTAAACCAAACCGCACAGCACCTTTATTGCTCGAAATTGAACCCAAACTTCCATGGATGAATTAGCGTGCATCATAATTAAATCATCAACCTTCTCCTTTTTTCACTTGGAAATAGGAGACCTTTCTTTTAGAAAAGAGATCATCTTTCTTGACAAGCTCATTAAGTTGCCAAACTATTCAGTATGGTATATATTAGACTATCTGCTAACCACTTACTTATCGCTGCTGTTAGTCTCAAGAGCCCTGGTGTTGCTTGTTGTCCTAAGTAACAACACTATTCTTTTTATGACTTTTGAATCCTTGTGTATGCATTCAACTATTAGTCTTCACATTTGAGTCTTTGGTTAGTGATTCTAATATAGAGTATTTTTTACTCTGTGGTATGTAAGAGGAAAAATAATATATCATTATTAAATTTTACATATTATATTACCTACTAGAGGCCCAGTGCACAAAATTCTTGCACTCTGGGCAGGGGGTGGGGGGTCCCTCAGTCCAGCCTGCGCCCTCTCAAAATCCGGGAGCCTTCGTGGGATGTCCCCCTGTGGGAGCGCACTGACCACCAGGGGGCAGCTCCTCTGTTGAGTGTCTGCCCCCTGGTGGTCAGTGCGTGTTATAGTGACCAGTCAGTCTGCCGTTTGGTCAATTTGCATATTAGCCTTTTATTATATAGGATATTTACATGGAATAAATTCCTTCAAATCACATTTTAAATTTGCTTAGTCCAGCAACATCTCTCTCAGGCACTGAGGAAAATACAGTGTATGTCTTCATACATCAATTTATTATCTGAATTCAGATATATAATTAATCAAATCATAGTCTGAAATGTAGTTTCATGTTGTAAAAGTCTGATATTAACATCAATAGTAAAGTAAGTGGTTATTTGTTCTAAACCTTTATGGTATAGGAGTTCTTATAAAACATCACTTTATATAAAGTGTAAAAAATTTTAAATCATTCAATATTATAAACTTGATAGTATTTATATATACTAGGGAGGTTGATATTTAGACAAAGTCTGTAGATACTTTTTCAGATTAAAGTGAACAATGCCAATTTTTGTAATCTTGCTTTTCATTTAAATAAGATATAATTTCTCTATAATTAATAAAATAAAACCTAAGTTTACCTTCCAAAATTGGCTCAACCTTTGTCCATTCAAGTAGGAAAAGCAGAATGAATTTCTTATAACACTCATAAATGGATATGTAGATATAATTACATGTTTTGTCCTATCTTACCTGAATTTATAACATTTTAATATGAAAAGTTATAAATACTTGTGGGTTCTTAGTAACTAAATTATCTCTATAAGTCTGTCACCTTAAAAATACTTGTCAGTGATTGCACAGCTATGTAAATTTTCTAAAAATCATTGAATTATACACTTAAAACAAGTGAATTTTGTCATATATAATTATGCCTCAATAAAACTGCATAAAATTTTGTCAGAACAACCACACAAGTATTTCTGCCAAAACAACAGAAAATGATATTTTCATTTGATAATAGTGGAATGCATATTTTGTTTTTGTTTTAAGAAATGAGCAATTTTTTGCAACCGTTTATGGTAATGGATGTTAACTAGACTTATCAGGGTGATTCTTTTATAATATGCATAAGCAAATATCACATCATTATGTTATATACCTGAAATTAATATAATGTTACATGCCAGTGATATCTCAAAAAAATGAGCATTTTTTACTATTAGGTTATTATCAAGTAAAAATTGGGAGCCTGGTAAATTTTGCAACTTGGCAGCTGAGGACAGGGAATTCCTGGCAAGGGAAATTAACATTCCTCCACAAGTTTTCTACCCCACTCACATCTTAGCACTAGCCAGGTGAGAGGAAGAACAATCCAATCTTGGCTAATGTGCAAAATCCTCGATGGAGCAAGACTTTAATTCTTCCAAAATAATGTGTTTCTTTATACTTTTCTGGACTTGGAGTAACAGTGTTTGTTCATGTTGTGTGGTTCATTTTGAAATTTTTATAGAAGGCAGGCTGTTTCTGGATAATGGTCAGAATGTACACATATGAAAGCCACATTTCATTTAAACATAAAAAAGGTCTTGATGAGATCATGGTTTTTATTTCTGCAAACCTTATTCTCTTTTTCATAAATGAGTGTATGCATATTCCTTGACTTAAATTGTAGTTATTTCACTGTATCATTTGAGTTTGTCTCTCTTCTGAAGCTTTTTCAATATTGAGAGATGCCAGCTTTAGGAAAAGACGAAAACCACATACTTGAGTCTTATAACCCTGTGACTTTTTATATGAATTTATATCTATCTTAAGCCATAGCTAATTCCCTGTAGTTTTGAGATTATTTTGATTAAATGTGGGAATATAGTTGATTTGTATATGTAATTGAAATAAACAGAAGGAAAACCTCCCATTTTTTATGGCTCTGTATAATGCTTAGCAGAGCTGTAGGATCTTGATCTCTCTCTCTCTCTCTCTCTCTCTCTCTCTCTCATTTTCTCTCAGTCTCTCACTCTGACAGTATGCCGTAAAGCAAGCATGTCAAACTCGCATATGCCTCGTTTATTTGGCCCGTGTTAGCCTTTGATTTTGACATGCTTGCCATAAAGGAGAAGACCTGGATTTGAGGTCTTGTTCTGCCACTTACTGACTTTGTGCCATTAGACAAACTATTTCTCCGTGCTTCAAAGTTCTTATCTTTAAGGAGATAATAATGACAGCATTACCTCAGAGGGTTATTTTAAGGTAAGGTATAATTAATCGTTTGTAAACCATTAAGCTCAATAGAAATGTAAATTACTAATGTCATTAGTATTCTTTGAAAGTATCATATATCCTATGGCTGCAGGTGTGTCCAGATTTACATTTATGTCCTTAACTATTTTCTAGGTTGTTTGGTGAACCCAAGTAATTTTGTTTGTTTTTCTTCCCATAGAGCATATCATGTCCCAAGTGGGAAAATATTAGCTGTAAAGGTAAGTACTGGATACATTTCATGAAATTCATGACATTCTTGATGCTCACCACTTTTTCTCCACTCCCACCCGCCATGTTCAGCTTGAGTTACAGGTAGTGATAAAAAGGAAATGGTTTTAGGTTTGGATTCGGAGGTGGGAGCTGTAGCACTGTTGTGACATTCAAGCTCCTAACGGTTGTGCTGCTTTTAAGTTGAACTCATTGCCTTATCTGAACCCAGGTACTTTCACTTCAACACTTTGATACATGTATTTCTCGCTAATAAGAATTCCTTCGCCTGTGTCTCCACCTATCAAAATCCTTAAGACCCTTCAAGGGTCAGCTCCAAAGCCACTCTGTTGGACTTACGTAGATAAATAGTCACTTCTGGTATATCTATCACTTTCTCACTCTGTTCTTTGACTCTCGAATTCTCTGTGTTTCTTATGGGTGTTATCACATGCTGCCTTGTTGTTTGCTATTAGTATACATGTATGTTTCCCCTATAATATTGAAATCTCCTTTAAGTAGAGAACAGCTCTTAACTTGTTTTACTCACTGATTCATGCGGAGCATTGCACAGAGGGCCTAGTGCAGAGTGCTGTATGTAATGACTAGATGTTCAACACATAATTTGTTAAATGACTGACTAAATAAATACATTTTGTTCTTTTGTTTTGGGGTGTGTGATTTTTTGTTTGTTTGTTTGTTTTCCAGTTTACTCATTCATCTTTTGAAGTAACATCTTGAAAGCAGGTTCAACTCACATACAAAATATCCCATAGTGTTCTTTGTATGGACCATTGCTCTCAGCCAGAGTATTTCTTAGCTTTATATATATATATATATTAAAGGGTGAAATGAAAGGTTGGCGCATTTGATCTTTTCCTGACCCTCTCCTGACTTTTGTGTGACTTCAAGCATGTCACTTGAACCTCTCAGTGACCTCAGCTGTGAAACGGGCTGCCTGGTGTCACAGAGGGATTGTGAAGAGCAGCAAATCACAGGCCTTGTCTAAACAGAATCACCTGCAGGGCTCTGATGCCGGCATAGAATGATGAGGGAAATTTAATTTCCCAAGCCAAGTAGTCAGTTGGACCCACACTTTGAATATCTGTGGGAGCAATTAGATAAAAATCTTGAAAATCTATTACTGTTCCTACTCAAAATATTTTTAATTTTTATACTTCTAAATGTTTTCATTTTTTAGACAAAATAAAACAACTATATTATAATGTTTCCCTTTTCAGACATTAAAGGTGGGAAACTATCACTTTAGATATTTTTAAAAGCAAGTTGAATTTTGGGAAGAATAGAAGTACCTTGAATTTTTATTTTATAGTGCTGAATTTAGAAAAATTTCTGCCTCAAAGAGAGCATTTTGAAAATGATACTAACCACTTTTTAAAGATAAGTATTTGATATGACTGTAGTATGTAACTCATGAAATGTGTTTCTAGTTAGCTTTATTGGGCAGGGAGTGGTGTAGGTAAGCAAAAACAATTGCAAACAAGTAGAGCAGAAAACAAATAAAAATAGTGTCAGCCATCTTGCAAATAGAACCTTTTTATAAAACCTTTCTGTGTATTCTATAAAACCTTTCAAAGAGTAGAGCTTAATTTTTTTTCTAATTGGAAAAAAACATCCATTTAACAGGAAATTTCTTAGCATTGTATGTAGCATGTGCTGATTATCATTCTTTGACTGTTTTTGGTTTCTGCTGCTTTTAAACTAGCATTTAAATGGATCATTTGATTAATCATTTGTATACTGACTGTAATCCTCCCAAATTTCCTTTCTGAATTGTACATACTGTAAAAGACAATTATGTTGCCACAGATTAAATAAGCGAATTAAAACAGAATAGCAGCTTAATTTGACCTGTGATTTTGCTCTCCTTCCCTTTAGTGGAGCATGTGCCACTCCAGCAAATAAATGAAGTCATCCATGACAGGTTGTGATGAATTGCCGTATTTATACTGTATATTTTAATAGCCTCACACTAATTTAAATTGAGCACAGAGTAAATTATAATTCAGTCACTTGACTGCTTATATTTAACTTGACAACTCATCCTTATTTGTCCTGGAGGTGTAGCGAAGAGCAGGGAAATGCACTCAGGTATTTCAGTTTCTCACTTAACCCTTTCTCCATGAAATGCTTCATGTTCAGAGTCTCTCCAGTTTGAAAAATTTAGCTCTTCCTATGAAGAAAAATAGTAATAATAATAATAATAATGAAAACTCAGGGAGTCCATACTTTGCTTGTACTTCAAACTGAAAAGTAGTATTTCCATGCCTTTTCCCATTACCTTCAAATAAGGAATTGGACTCATTTATTTTTCGCAGTTTTAAAGCTCACTCACAGGAATGCCCAAGGGAAGGAGAATTAACCTTCCACCTAGAGTATCAAGTCTCCCAGAAAATAGAAGAGCATTTCAGTAATTATTTTAAGGTGAATTTTAATCTCACTCTCAAGTTCCCAGAAATTACTTTATTCACTTTTCTACCATTATAGAATCTCCACTGTTCTGCACTATAGCAAACCAAGGGTGATCAAGACCTATGAGAGTACAATGGATTGGCTCCACAAATACAGTATTACTTGCTACATTTTAGGTCAGAGTGGCACTTTTACTTACTTTGGTGTTTATATGTTTGGTTTTATTTATTTTTAAATATATATAAATTTTTTTATTGATTTCAGAAAGAAAGGGAGGAGAGAGCTATAGAAACATCAGTGGTGAGAGAGAATCATTAATTGGCTGCCTCCTGCACCCTCCTCACTGGGATCGAGCCCGAAACCCAGGCATGTGCTCTGACTGGGAATCGAACTGTGACCTCCTGGTTCATAGGTAGATGCTCAACCACTGAGCCACTCCAGTTGGGCTATCCCTGTACTTAACAAGGTGGTTTTAAATTCAGCTGTAGAAATCAAGCAATCCATCCCTTCCTCTTTAGAAACAGCACCTTATTTAGAGCATTATGGTTGTAAGGCACACTTTAATTATATCCCACATCATTTAATGGCCACTACTATGAAACCCTATACAGCAAGCATGTCAAACTCAAAGGCTAACATGGGCCAAATAAATGAGGCATGCGGCCCGCGAGTTCAACATGCTTGCTATGCAAGGTGCTGGGTGTGAGGGAGGGAGCTAGAGAAAGATGTACAAGACTCAACCTTTGCCCTTGAGGGGCTCACAACCACTCTTTATTCTTTAGACTTCTGTTTTTAGAAGACGGGGTATGAATGCTAAAGACAAATGTGGTAAGGAAAAAAATAAAGGGCCAGAGCTAGAGACAAATTCTGATGGAGGGCTTTGGGGCTGGCTTCCTGAGATGGTGGCAGCATTCCAGCTAGGCCTAAAAGATAGAAAAGATTTTATGATCAATGACTGTGGAGTAGAGAGAAGAAGCTTACCTCAAGTGGAAGGAACAGCAGAGCAAAGACTGGAAGTGGGGAAAGCACAGGACATGTGTGGATCAGTGAAAATCATCTGGTTTCACATGAGGATTGAATTTGTGATGGGGAATAGTTGGAGGAGCTAGAAAAACAAGTTGGAGCTAGATTGTAGAAGACGTCCTGGAATGTCATGCTAGAATTGTAACTTTATGCTAGGCCAGCCGTGGGCAAACTACGGCCCGTTTGAAATGAATAAAACTAAAAAAAAAAAAAAAGACCGTACCCTTTTATGTAATGATGTTTACTTTGAATTTATATTAGTTCACACAAACACTCCATCCATGCTTTTGTTCCGGCCCTCCGGTCCAGTTTAAGAACCCATTGTGGCCCTCGAGTCAAAAAGTTTGCCCACCTCTGTGCTAGGCCATGGGAGCCCAATTAAGATTTTTGATCAAGGGGACGATACGTTTATAGCCAGTAGTGTGAGTTTAATTCCACTGTGTTGGCTAGCCCTGTGGAATTATGTCATTTATAGAATGTGTGCCTGGAGGTGCAATATAGCTTAGTACTCATTCTAAGTACTGAGTACAGTCAGACCTCCGTTCTCCAGCGTCTCCCATCTCAGTTTACTTCTCAGCCCAACAACACTTTCATGCTGATACCTGCATGATCATTCATGAGTCTCTCAGGCGACAGAGGAGAGAATGCTCCAGTATGCGTCAGTTTACTGCTAAACCTTACATTGTTAACATCTCAGGAAATTGTGCTGTGAATGTTTTCATGGTTTTTTTACTTTGGTTGCTGTTTATTTTTATTAAATTTTCCATTTTTACTATACATTTCATTTTCTTTTTGTTAAATTTTCGTTTACATTTCATGTCCTTTTTGTTTTTAAAGTATGTATTTATAGATTAAACAGTATATTAGACATGTATGTAAGAATAGTTAAAACAGGGAATCATTTGGGGGTCTGGAATGGATTAATTCAATTTACATTATTTCTAATGGGGAAAAATGATTCAGTTTTCGAACAGCCTTCCGGAATGAACTGAACCAAGGTTCCACTGTAAATGTATTTTTGAAACTTTAAATAAGTGGTTCTCAACCTTATTGTGGGTTAGAATTCACCTGATAAGTTGTTGCTGTTTATAAATACTAAGAGGTGGGTCTGCCCTCAGAGATTTTGATTACATTATGCCTATGTATCATCAGGATTTATTTAAAGTGCCCTGAGATACTTATGAAAATAACTTTAAATAAAGGTAATTATAATATGAGGCCAGGTTTGAGAACCACTGCTTTAAAGTAAATAATAACTTCATTCCGTTTACTAGTTTTTTAGGATGAAAGATTCCCTGTACTTGGCATGGCGGTGTGAATAGATCTAATAGTTTATGGCATAGACTTGAAACAACACTAGATGAATTTATTTTGTTGCTAAGTTTTATACAGGAACAAAAATGTAAGTGAATATTGTTGGCAAAATGACTATTGATCTGGAGAAGTGTTTCCTGGCAGTTTTGTATTACACTTACAGGCTGGTTTAGTGAGAGCTTTTATAAATAACCCTAAAGCAAACTCTTGATAGAAACTGGCTATGCCTTTTTTATTTTCTTCCCCCTCCCCCAAATGGATGTCATTACTATAAAATGTGTTTTAGAATTAGCCTCTTCTTTCCTTGCTCTATCAGCAGTTTGCAATTTATAATTTATGGAATAATTTTTCCCCCTCCAGTATGATTATATATATTCCTCAGTTGTAATACAAAATGTAGTTCAATGTTGGATGGTGTATAACTACTGCTGTCATGGTAATCCTGGGTGTTCAGTTTTTATCTAGAAATGTCTAGAGTCAGAAACTCTGCCACAGACCTTAAAATTGTCTTCCAACTATTTTATTCTCATCACTCTCTTTTTTTAAGTAAAAAAAATCCTCAGAGTCAGGAAGGGGCCAGACGTTGCCAGGCCACGTGGCTCCTCAGAACCTTGGGTTCCTCCTATAAACTAAGGGGATTAGATGAAATAATTTCTGAGGTTCCTTCAAGCTCTAACATTTTATAACATTATTAGCAAAGAAACATTATGCAACTGGAAGAATAAAAAAAGATGATTTATTTTTAAAACCTAAAAACCCTACTTTAAACGTCATTTTTACTCATCAACCTCTTCTGCTTATTGCCTAGTGTCTGAATTACAAGGTAATTTTTTTTAATGGTTTCAGAGTCACTCCTGTCTTTCTCTTCTGAAAATAACCAATGTGGCCAAAATAGGGTATATAAATTAAGGGTGTTATAACTTAACTGACTTTTAAAGCTATTAATACTGACCTTTGAGACCTGGCTTTTTCCTTGGTCCCATCAATCACTTCTATACCACCTCCCCCAATACAAAGGATTAGACAGATGTGGATACAGTTTGTATTACTGGGGGGTTATAATAGTGGGGAAGAGGGAGGGGAAATGAAAAGAGTTTAGTTTTTATGTTTCATAGCGAGTATAGCTATACTTAATTTAAAGGTAAATAAATGTGTCAATGTATTCCTTTCCATATTTAGGTCATACTACTAGATATTACACTGGAACTTCAAAAGCAAATTATGTCTGAATTGGAAATTCTTTATAAGGTAATTTTTTCTTGGTCATTTTTTTCTTATAAAGCATGCCTATTCTATTGGCTTGTAGGTTTTTAACTACTTTTGTCTTATTGTTGTTACAGTGTGATTCATCATATATCATAGGATTTTATGGTGCATTTTTTGTAGAAAACAGGATTTCAATATGTACAGAATTCATGGATGGTGAGTTTTCCCTTTTATAATATTTTAAAAATTATTTTTGTGGGGTAGTGCTTTATAACCTGGTTTTGATATAAATGTCAAGTAGAATGAAAAATAATTAAAATATACTAATAATTACCTTTATACTCTAAAGGAAACATGTCAACTCACAGCCCACGGGCTGCACGTCTCATTTATTTGGCCTATGTTAGCCTTTGAGTTTGACATGCTTGCTCTAAAGTATCTTAGTGTTAAGGATTTCTGGTGTTAAATATTTAGAGCTGACTTATAATTTCAAGAATGTGATTTCATTTACTTTTATTAAAAATTTAGATAGAACAAATTAAATGCTAGTCCAATCGGTGGTTTGATATTTGCTTCTTCCATACAATCTGTCTTTACTTGCAAAACAGATGTTCTGTTCTTTTAATGTTTCAATAGCCAAAACATATTTACTTTAAAAAAAAATCAATTAACCCAATGCCCTATATTTTTTAGAAAGAAAATGGTTAGTTGCAAGATAAGAAATTATTTTTTAACACAGCTGTTGAGCCAAGATGTATTTATAGTTTTCTTTGGACTCTAGCCCTTTCTCTCCTTTATTTTTTCATTCATTTCCACTTTGGTAACTCTTTCTTGATCTGAATATTAAGGCAAAATGCAGATTTCTTGGTATCCTATCAGTGAAATTGTCATCATTGTTATTATTGACCCATTTTAAATCAAAGAAGTCTTTAAATCTTATATATTCATTTTGCAGTATCTGGCCCATTCAAATTCAACAATTTAAAATATACTTAGTTCATTTTGGGAAATCTCAGTACATTACTGAAGCAATTTGTTCATGCCCTATAAGACTTTTTAATGAGCCAGCATTGATGCCTTTATACTATAATAAAGGATATAATATGCTCTAAATTAGTTATAGTAGATGCTAAGAATTACAATTCTTTCAAGGAGACTGCTAGAAAAAGTGGATTCATAGAGCTAGTACATGTTATTATTTTATGACTATTCATCATTCTTTTTAGAAGTCTTCAATTTTTCAAATACATTAAAAAAAATTCTTTATTGAGATGGTATGTTCAAATGCCATCAAATTCACCCTTCTAATTTGTACAAAACTCATTCTTGTCATTAATTCCAAAACATTTTTATCATGCCCAGAAACATACTCCCTACCAAACAGCAGTCACTTCTTACTTCCTCTTTTCTCTAGTCCTTGGCAAACACTAATCTATTTTTTGTCTCTATGGATTTTCCTATTTTGGACATTTCACACAAATGGAATTTATATAATATGTAGCCTTTGTGTCTGACTTCTTTCACTTAGCACAACTGTTTTCAACCAGTGTGCCATAAGAATTTTTAAAACATGCAGTACTTGACTATTCAATCAGGGGCACTGACCTCTTTTCCCTTAGATTGTCAAATAAAAAATGACAACAGCCAACACAATAATGGCCATCCAGTGTGAATTCCCTGTCTTGAACCATAAATATATAGGTCATATAATAGAGTTGCATCTTATTGGTCACTTCGCATAATAAGGTTGCATCTGATTGGTTAATTTTTAGTACCAGAAATCCTTATATACAAGTATAGGCACCTCATTTTTTTAAAAGTCACTTTGGAGCAAAAAGGGTAGGTAATTATTAATCAAAATTATACCTATTTTTTTTTGTCAGGTAGGCAAAAAATATATTTTTGGTGTCAGAATTTTAGTAATTTATGTGCGTCATGAGATGAAAAAGGTTGAAAATTGCTGACTTACATAATGTTCTCAAGATTCATTCATGTTGTATCATGTGTTAGTACAGTCACATGCTGCATAACAACATTTTAGTCACTGCAAAAACGAATGCTCCCATCCTATATAATAAAAGCCTAATATGCAAATCGACCGAACAGCGCAACGACTGTGGAATGATCGGTCGCTATTATGTGCACTGACCACCAGGGGGCAGACACTCAATGCAGGAGCTGCCCCCAGCCTGCAAGCTCCAGGCCAGCCAAGGCAGGTGCCAGTGGGGGCCTCCTGATTGCCCTGCAGAGGGAGGTGACCAACGGTGGCAGGGGGCGGGGCCAGTGATTGGGTGGCGCCAGGCTGGCCAAGGTGGGTGCCAGCGGGGGCCAC